GTCTGTATTACAAGGTAGAAGCCTGGGTTCTCTCAACAGTCTCTTCCTAATTCTTGGAGCTCCATCTCCATGGGGAAGGAGGGGTGGCCTGTTGTTCTAAAGCATTCACCTCAGGCTTGGTCTTCCTTTCCCAGGAAAACATCTGCTTATATGTGGCTTCCAAAGGAAGAAAAAGGAGGAAAGAAGCTCTTTCCGAAGATCTCCAGAGTGGCAGGGAGAGCCTTGGTCACAGTCCTTGGACAGTCCTTGGTCACATGCCCCACCCACCTGTGGGCTGGAGGAGCAGTGAATGGGATCAGTGTTCACAGAACCACAAGGGATGAGGAGGGGTGGTTCCCCAAGGAAGGGATACTGGGTAGATAAACAACATATTTATTTCCACTGCACCCACCCGCTCCATGGGTATTGAGCATTCCTGAGTCCCAAGAGAGGCTCTGATGCATTGGCATACAGTATTGATTAAAAGCTTGAGGTTTCCAGTCAGCTTGAGTTCAAATCCCAGCTTTTAATTTGTATTTTATAGGTCTTAGATTAGTGATCAACCTCTAGAAATCTGAGTCTTCATCTATGACATGGTGATAATTGTTCTTACCTCATAGAGTGCTAAGAGAATTCAGTGAAATATTATTGTAAAACCCTTAGCACAGTTCCTGGTGTATAATAAGTGCTCAGTAAAAGTCAGAGATGGTGACAATAATGACTATGATGATGATAATGATGACTCTTTACAGAGGGCCTCTGTTGGACAAAGCTTCATTTCAAGCCAGCAGGAAGCAGCTGATTCCTTTGCGTTCAGTTTGGCCAGCTTTCATGTGGGCTGCCTTTGGTGCAAACAAAATGCCTCACCCAGTCCAACGTGGGCAGGTGAGCGGAGCTGATTTCATTCAACACATCATATTACCTCTGCAACTGCATACATAAAGGCCTCCTTAGGACTGCTTTCCTCAGCAAAGGGATGCAAGGAGACAGGCTAATTAAACTTTGTAATCCCCCTCATGGACATGAATCATACTTGTGCCTGCCAATTATTTTTTTAGCAGCCTTTTAATGTTTGGGGAAATTTCTACGTTATGTGACCCTCATCCACCACATAATGTTGAATTCCCAGCCTCCCTTGCAGCTGAGACGCAGGCATGTGACATGGACAGCACCGATCATATGCATTTGCATGAGATGTTGACCAAGAGATCAACACGATATAAGAGTTTCTGTGATGAGCTCTCTTTCTGTAGGGGGAGTGGAGGTGTCTGGCCTTTGAGGCAGGAGTGTTGCAAAGTCGCATGTCCCAGGGCAAAAAAGCATCTGAGGTGTTCACAGCAGTAACGACTGCAGTAAGTTCAAATACCTGCATTCGGTGCTTAGTCTTGGTGGCAACAGATTTTTCACTGGTCCATTTCTGAGGCCAGGTTTTGGCCATTATTCTGGAAAAATTATCCTTGAGACTGTTTCCTCAATTCTCTTAATGGCAATGGGAACTACCTGCTATTTTAAAATACATCTCTTTTATTGTTTGAATTAGCAGAGTGAACTCACTCTGAGTGGACTCTGGTTTTTTGTTTTTGTTTTTTTTTTTGTAGCTAAGAGGCCTGCCCAATACAATTCTTCTGTAACATTTTATTCTTGGCAAAGGGGTACATGGAGAAATGTCTATTTTTTTCCTAATATATGTTTACAAACATCAAAAACTATTGAACTAACTTTTAATTCTAAAAATCCTTGAACATAAGAGTAGCTACTGATTTGGTCTGTGCACAAGAATTCTAAGATAACAGAGAGTTCCGAAATGTTGATAATATCTAAAAAGCTGAATTCAGAAAAAGTACTTCTATCACTACAGTATTAATATCATAACAGCACACTGTTATATTTTCTCAGATTAAAAAAATGAAAATTCCAGTTTGATAGTAGTTCTAAAGAACTACAGACATTATGGAAATATCACAAATATTGTATTGTCACTAACAGGCTGCATAAGAGAATTCCCATACTAATTGCTTTCCAGATATTTTTCATTCATTTTATACATTTGTAATACTTATAAATCTAGACACCCTGTGTGGTGCTGCTGAAGTAGTATCATATTCAAGGAAACAGGGACTACACCTGAGTTCCAGATACAGTTCATGCCTCTTCCATTGTAAAAGACCAGTGGAAGGGGAGAGTCCAGCCACTCCCATTATTTTTTCTTCCACCCTCTCTCCATCAATCTGATGTACTGCCCTGGATTGGTGCTCAGGCACATTTCAAGACAATCGGAGATTATCCGTATCTGAGGTTAGTTGTATTGGAAAATGCCACATACTTACTTAAAATAGTCTCAAATTTTTGTAGCAGATACTGAAAAATTGTTTAGGATTTTATCTTTAAAAATGAAACTGAAAATTAGAAAATTTAAATTTATTTTGTATTTATCAAAATTTCAGTTGTATGCTAATTCTCCTAATGAATAAAGAATGAATCAATGTGAATTTTTTTAGCATAATTTTCCTGACAGATCTGCATTATAGCGAAGTACAAACATCCTTCCCTTCACAGGGAAAATTTGATTTTCACAGCATAATAATATAGAAGATTAATTTTGGAAAATTATTGTAGGACTTCATTTTTCTTATGGGCTTCTCTTAAACACTTTGGTACTCAAAATTATCCTTTTTTGGAGAGACTTGTGGTCAGCAACCTTCTTCAGTTTCTTTCCTTCAGTTGTTCACTGGAGTATCTCATCCAGGTCTTTATTTGTCAAAAAAAGAAAAGGCCACCATTCTCCCACTTCTTTCAATATCACTTGCATTCATTTTATGAAATTCGGGATTTTTTTTTACAAGATCAGTACAGCGCTATGAAATGAATGTGCATTGGATTTACATTGCATATTCAGATGATTACGAAGTTGATAAATTAACCAGACACTAACTTACAATGATGTTGACATATTGAGCCCAGCTAGATGCTAATATTATGCAGCAAGTGATGTTTGAATGGGGCCTAATTTTATAAGTGGTCAGTTCATTGGTGAATATTTTCATATAGTTTCATAACTTTGATTCTCTGCACAACCCAGGAACTGCAGAGACTGAGTAATAATATATTTTGGATAACAAGGATCATTTTACCGACCACTCCACTTTTCTTTCGAGAATCTACTCACAGGGATTTTTCTTTCTCTCCCCTTTTCCACTGCCTGTAGTTCTGTAGGTCCCTTCCGTTATACTAATTCTGCCTTGAAAAAGTGCAGAAATTGGTCTTACTGACATGGACCTTACACTCATCTTCAGAGTCCACCTGGGTCTCTTTCAATTTTAACACTTTACACTTCTCAGGATATTTAAGGTTTATAATTTTGGTCAGAACTGTAGTTCCAAGTCAAATATGTGTTTTTAAGAACAAATAATATGGGTCTTAGTAAACTTTAAAATCACACAGTAAAATCAATGTCTTTCTTATGTGACTTGACAACAGAATGCTCAGTGTTAAAATCCTAACTCTTTAGAGAGGATATGAACACAGACATCGGTTCATAAATTTAAAAAATACTGTTGCATATTTATGTTCAAATAATCTTTTATCTATTTAGCCATGTTTAATACTTTGTTTTGTTTTTTTTTTTAATTTTGAAAACTTAGCTTAGTCCTAAGAATGAAGTATTTTCTGGCTATGAGGACACCAAATCACTACCAGAAAGTGAATTAAGCAATATTTTCACTTTATAATTTAAAACTATGACTTTTAAATAAACTATCATCTAAACCATGCAATTGGATAGCATAGTCTTGAAATGTGTGCAAAATAAACAATCATTTCTTTTCCTCTTTGCTGTTTTAGAGATATTTTTATTGAGTTGAGGGTGTTTCAGGATATAATGTAGTTTGCCAAATTCTGTAATCCTTTTTTTTAATGTCATACAGGGTGTGGTGCCTTTAGAGGATTTTTAAAATGTTGTAGTTTATGATGTTTGTTTCTTCACTTTTTCAAAAATGGTAAGATATTCTAAATCCCACAGGGAAATTCTCGTTTGTAGTATAGGCTCCTCAATTCCCCCACTGCTAAAAGATTATTTCCTGTAGCCAGTTTTACTTATTTCCTTACCAAGAGTGTTTATGTTCTTAACATTATAAGCTCATTATTAGAAATGGAGTCTTCATAAATACTACTTTAATGCTTCTTTCTTTTTTTTTTGCTTAGAAAGTTGAAAATAATTTAGAAGGAAAAACACAAATGAGACGTCAAAATTACATTATGTCTCTCATGCGTGGTGTGGTTATTAAAAATCTCAATGATGCCATTCTGTTCTTGTTATTCTTTTTATTAATCCCCGATTATTGGGAGGCACTTAATAAATGTTTAAAATTCTTTTTCTATACATTAAGTAAAGGAATACATTGATTCCACAAGGCTAGAATTGTTCTTCTTAGAAAAACAAATTCTCTGTAAATCTTAACTTGTCAATACTACAGAAATAAATTTTTGGAAAAGGTCTTCTCCAAGAACAGAGAGATGCCAGCAGAGAAATACCTTTTTCAGAACATATCGTGAGACGGTGAGATTCGATGATTTGGTTCTGTCCTCATTATTTGACATTTAATGATAACTCACACGCAAATGGCTTGCCTGAGAACCCATGTCTAAATCCCCACACAGAAACCGCCTCCCTTATCATGTCATTCTCACACACCAGAAAAAAACCAGAAAAGAATCTTACTGAGATTTTGTGTGTGTGCGTGTGTGCGTGTGTGTGTGTGTTTAAAGGAAGAGAATAAGAGCAGCAGTTAAATACGATAGACTTCCTCTCTTACTTTCCCCTTTCTTTCCTTGGATCTTGGGTGTTTGATGGAAACAAAGAAGGAACCCCAGGTTTTCCAGGAACCAGCACGCGCTGATACTTCTTATTTAAAAGCAACTGGAAGAAAACATTCCCCAAAGCAAACCAAGGAGCCCTCCCTGAGAACTGTCCGTGGCCCTCGGAGCCCGGGCCCGCCCGGGTGGCGCTGCGCGGCGGGCTCCCCTCGCCGTCCTCCCCCCGCGGTGCCTGCGCGCGGGACGCGAGAGGGCCGTGGGTACCGGGGTGCAAGGAGGAGACGCCGCCCGCCCCAGGAGAGGAGGCGGCTCTGCCTCGGAGCCGCCCCTCCTGCCGCCGGAGAACAAACGGGATATTCAGCAGTGGCCTGTGGCTGCCAGAGCAACTCCTCAGGGGAAACTAAGCGTCGAGTCAGACTGCACCGTAATCGCCTTTAAAAGCGCCCCAACCCCGCCTGCCGCGCACACCCGGCTACCTGGGCTGCCCCGCGGCGGTGTGTGCGAGAGAGGGGAGCGCGGGCCGGCGTGTGAGCCCGTGTTTATGCCAGAGTGCGGGTCGCTGTGTGAGCCTGGCTGGGTGCGAAGGGGTGTGTGTGCCCGCGCGCGCGCCCTCCGGTGCGAGCCTCGAGCGTCTACACTGGCCATGAGGGGCGCGAACGCCTGGGCCCCGCTCTGCCTGCTGCTGGCCGCCGCCACCCAGCTCTCGCGGCAGCAGTCCCCGGAGAGGTAATGCGACCCCTGCCGGAGCCTCCTCCCTCCCTCCTTTCCCCTCTATGGCTGCAGCCTCGCCTGCTGCTCTACTCAATCGGCTTCGGGGCGCCTGGGTGCCCCAGCCCGCGGCCCAGCGCTCACCGCGGGGTGCAGGAGGCCGCCACCCCGCGTGGGCTATGCCCACGCCCTCAGGACCGCGCCTGCCCGCAGGGGTCCCTCCTGCGCCCCCAGACCCGCCTGCCGGATGGCCCTGTGTAGCTGGCCGGGCCACCACGTGGCGGGGGCTCAGTCTGACTTGCGTCTCCTCTCCTCAGATGTTCATGGGGCCGAGGGAAGCACCAGGGCCCAAACTATGTGGACTCTGGTTTACTGCTGTTTTCCTCCAGGGAGAGGCTTTGCCCGGAGACGTAAACCTAGGGGAAAACTCAAGTCACGCGGCGTCCTGGGAGCCGCTCCGGAAAGTTAACTCTTCGTCTACCTCTGGAACCGCCCCAGGACCTGGGCTGAGGGACCCACCCGAGGGCAAACTTTGGCATCTCCTCTTCCGCCCCCATCAAAGTCAGCCTCCCTTTTCAATGGAAGGCTCTGCCAATGGCTAGTGATTTTCAGAAAAGGGGAGGAGAACTGGGCATCTCTCCAAGTCTGGGAACTTAAAACTTTTTTATATTAACCAATTGCTTGTCTGTCTTTAAAACCATGCATCTCACTCAGCCTGGCTCTTACCTTCTCACCCACTCTCCCCAGTTAAATTGATCCATTTGCCGTTTTCCTACAGGACTTTTCCACTAAGTCAAGAACTTCATTATATGCTATTATGATGCAGACAGATGGTAGCTGGACTGAATGCTTTATCAGGCTATAATTTAAATATCTAAGAGCTAGCAAGCTTTTCAGATCCTTTATAATCAACGTTAACTTTTAACCATATTAATATGTTACCCCTTTCTGCAGTTGACATTTGATTGTTAGGTCACGTTTCAAATTAAGTATCCTTTCCTCTTTTATTTTCCCAGACCTATTTTCACATGTGGCGGCATTCTTACTGGAGAGTCTGGATTTATTGGCAGCGAAGGTTTTCCTGGAGTGTACCCTCCAAATAGCAAATGTACTTGGAAAATCACAGTAAGCATTTTTTAAAAAAAGATATTCTCCTGGAAGTGGGTGTTGGAAACAGTGGAATGCTGCTGCCTTTTCCCTTTGGTGTCAGGATTTGAGTTAGAGGCAAATGCCAAAAATAGTGAAATGTTGGATTTACCTCAACTATTTGGAAGATTTGCATTAATACATCTTAGTCATGCCCTGCGTTAGTGATTAGAAAGAGCACAAGATAATGCTTGAAGGAATAAATGCTTAAAGCAGATGTGTTTCTGAAAACCCATCCAGACTCAGCTGAGTTTTATAGATTCGTAATGAAGGCTATTTTTGAGTCAAAGTGCTGTTGTAATGACCTTTAGGAGTTATTTGTTGTTTGTGCCTTCATAAATTCCCAGTGGGAAATAGAAGATCAAAGGTAGTGCTTTGACTACTCTATACCCATTAAGAAAAGAAAAAGAAAGAAAAAAACAAACCTACTTAATGTCCCTGGGTTGAAATCACCACTCAAGGCAATCTAAGAATAGGGAAAAATAGTAAGTGGGATGGGGGGGGACCTAAATAGCAACCCAGAGCCAATAAAATGCCCATGCTGGTTAGTAATGGCACAGATTATGCTGAGTCAAGGTAAGAAACTGGAATTAGAGACAGCTAGTAAAAAAAAAAAAAGCCCGGATTTAGAGTCAGATAGAATGAGTCATCTTTCCAGTCACTGTAGCACTGACTGTTATCTTCATTTGATCGTTGTTGGGAAGTTGGTTGGTAACTGAGCACGTTGGCTCACTGAGAACTTCATTCAGTCAAATTGTACCCGCCAAAGATTATGATTTTTGCCTCTGGCTATGTAAACTAGCACTTACTGTGCGTTGTAGTTAGCAAGCATAATCACCCTGAATCCTCAAAACCACTCTGTGAGAAAGCAGTATTATCCCCATTTTATAGATGGGGAATCTGAGGCCTGAACAATTATAGAAATGGACTTGATCAAACAGTTGGTAAACCCAACTTTATGTAAAGTAAAACCTATTTTGCAATGAGGCATTCCCACTGAGGAGGAAAGTCAAGTTCCTTTTATGTTTATTTGGACCCTTATTTCACTTTCTTAGTGTAATTGTGCTTTGTCACTAAATGGACATAAGTTTCAACTGATCCAAGAAAATCAATGGCTGAGAGAGGCATCATGTGCCTAACATGTAGAAATTCGCGGGTGGCGTTGGTGTGGGCGTACAGTGAAGGTTTTCCTCCATAAAGGAGGGGTTTGCGTCAGAAGAAGCTGGCTTGCCTCGTTCTTACCTGCGTGTGTGAGGAGAGGAGTATAATGGATGACCCCCCCATCTGGGTATAACACAAAGGTAAAGGCTGTGAGCTCAGCAGTCAGACTTCCTGGGTTCAAATGTTCATTTCATCTCTCATAAACTCTGTGGCCAGGATTTACTTTCTTTAAAACTCAGGATTATTGTGAAGACCACATGAGATAGTATATGTAAAACCCTTCAACACATTCCCCAAGGAAGCTTGATTTGTCTGAAGAACAGAGCAAGGAGGTCAGTGTGGCTGGAACAGGAGAAGCAAGGGGACAGTGGGAAGAGAAGTGACAAAGGTGAGCAGGCCCCAGTAGGGCATGGTGAGGAGTTTGAAGTTTGGGTAGGAAGCTACTGGAGGATCTTAAGCAGAGGAATGAGATGATCTGATTTGCAAAGGTCCTTCCAGCTGCTGTGTGGAGGGCGAGCGGTAGGGAGTTAAGAGTGGAAGCAGGAGACCAGCTAGGAAGCTGCTGTGGCATCCAGGAGAGAGAATACGGTGGCCTGGACAAGGTGGCAACAAAGAAGATGAAGAAATGTGGAGTCTCCCGCCTAAAGTGTTCTCTCAGCAGCTCTCCCTGCCGTTAGCGCATGGCGGCATCAGCTCAGAGCCCGGATGCTCCAGGCTCTGGGGTGGCTGCTGGTCCAGACAAGGCTGTGCTCTCTGTGGCCTCTTCCAAGGCAGTCTGTGAACGGCCATCCCAAAGCCGGATGGTCCTGTCCATTGTCCTGCTCCTGCAGTCACGTAAACCGAGAATGGAATTCCCTTTGGGTGATTTAATATCACTTTTACTAAAACATCACTGAGACTACTTGCTCCACATGGGAAGTTCTCAGAGTGGCTTTCAAACTTCATTCAGTTCCTGTAGTTGGAGAGTCACCTGCCTCCCATTCCATTCTTCCAAATTGGAGATGTGTCCTAGCAAGGTGACTTTCACCACCAAATGGTTTTCATTAAACTACATCTTACCAGTGGGAGAATGGGGAAAAGTCTGATTTTAATGTTTGTATGCTTTAAGAAAGGTGAATGCCAGTTGTCACAACCAAACTCTGTAGCCAATCGTATTAGACTTTTTGATTTGGAAATAGAGCCTGCAGGTTGGAAATTTAGATTTGTCCTTATATTATAGTACTTTAAAATTTGTATAGCAATTTCTTAGCTGTACTGTCCAATACACTTTCTACACTGGCTGTTTACATTTAAATTATGGGTTAGGCATGGTGGCTCACACCTATGTATCTAGGTACTCAGGAGACTGAGGCAGGAGGATTGTGTGAGCCCAGGAGTTCAACATTGCAATGAGCTATGATGGCACCACTGCACTCTACCCAGGGTGCCACAGAGCAAGACCTTGTCTCCAGAAAACAGAAAAATTAGTTCCTCAGTCACACCAGCCACATTTCCAGTGCTCAATAGCCACATGTGGATAGTGGCTCTGATACTGGACAACAGATAATGTGATATTTCCCTCATGACCAAAAGTTTCTTTCAAAAATACTGTTCTACCTACGTTGATCACATATCTATACAAAAAAAAAAAAAAGATAAAAAAAAAAGAAAATACTGTTCTAGAGAACTTTTGGTGTTAATTTTACTTATGTAAAGATAGGTCGTAGACAAAGGTGCTCCGTGCTGCTTTGCAAATAGGGAAGTTGATACTTGCTCTCCACAGTTGTTGGATCTGTGACTGGAACTCAAGCCTCTTGACTTAGCTTTATCTTTTTGGCCACCAGTTCTTGGTGACCTCAACTAGTTTTAGGTTTTACTAATTAATTTTGCAGTGAATGTTCTCAAAAATGTATGACTAGAGACTAAATCGTAGAGAATTTGAGTGTTACAAAATAGTTAAATATTTTGTAATCCATGATGGGGATGAGGGTTTCTTAGTTTCCTACAGGAGTTGATTTTTGGAACTGTAACTTAAGGGGCATCTGCATAAAACACCCTAGCCCTCATATATGGGGATGGTGAGTGTGATGACAGCTAGGGTATATATAATCCTTTGGAAAATGGTGACTAGTCTTCTTCTAAGCAGGCTTGGAAGAACAACAGGATCAGGGTGAGGCAAAAATCACCCTAATTGATTTAAGGAGAACCAGTAGCTCTACCTGTTCCAAGCCCTGCAGCAAGAAATGAAACTCCAAATGTTGACATTTGACCACTTGGACCGCTGTTACAGTGGTTCTCCTGCAGGACAAGATTGTGTGCAGGAGGCACACATCTCTGAGATCTTTAAAGGAAGTAGGAAGAGTGGACCATGGTGAACAAACACACAGCCAGTGTGATGTGGTCACTGCTACACAGGGCAAGAAATGTTTAGAAGAGTCCACCAGGCTTGGTGCCAAGTGCTGGAGACACACAGATGACTTCAGGGGTGATGTGAGCTCGGGGAGCTGCCTGCTAGGATGTGTTCCCAAGGCTGTGAGTGGGAAGTGAGGTAAAGCCCACCAGGCACCTTGCATTCTTGCTCTGCAGGCAAGATGCCCTTACATAAAGGTCATCTTTCCATTAAGGGGTCCTCAAACTTTTTAAACAGGGGGTCAGTTCACTGTCCCTCAGACCATTGGAGGGCTGGACTATAGTTTAAAAAAAACTATGCACAAATTCCTATGCACACTGCACATATCTTATTTTGAAGTAAAAAAACAAATGGGCAAAAACACCTGCATGTGGCCCGCAGGCCGTAGTTTGAGGACGCCTGCAAGGGTTTCATTATAAATTCATTGCAAACTTGGCAAATCACCTATAGTTCTGTTCCTTGATATTTTTACCTATAACTTGTTCATTCATTTTATAATTCCTATAATAGAATTAGAACGACATATTGATGATTTGATATAAATATTTTTAAAATAAAAAATAGGCATTAATAGCAAAATAATGCCTTGTGAAAGCAACTCTATTCAGAGTTTGACTTGGGCTACATATGGTATGGATGGCTAAGTGAAACCAGCTGAAACTTTGTTGACAGCAACTGCAAATTAGAGGAAACTTAAAGCCTAGAACCTTCTGGGAACTCTCCTTGAACAGGTATATAAGAATTGTTAATCAAAATAGGTTCCCAAACTTAAAACCAAATATCACATCTGAATGTGTAATGCAGTTGCTTTTATTATCTAACCAAAATAGCAATTGGTATGCAGAGACTGGTGAAAATGGTTTTGTTCTTAGATTTAAAGCTGGGAATAATTTACAAATCAGTTTTTTAAATGATGTAATCCATATATGTGGTCCTATTGTTATAAATCATTACAGAAATTACAAGGTTTTAATTTATTATTTAAATAATAAAATTTATTATTTATAAATTTAAATTTATTCACCCTCTTTATTCCCAAAAAGATTTAAAAAGTACTGAAATAAGCCAATTTAAGGTTTCAGTTATTCTTTTCAGCATAAATCTGGCTTGGGAAACATTGGCAAACGTTTGAGCACTTTAAAATTTAGTATTGGGGATCCCCCTGGAAAACATCTTTTTATCCTTTTAGCTGTGAAGTAAATAATGTGGGAGGGTCAGAGAGTCACAGAGCTTTGCCAGAAAATGGGAGGAGGATGTGGCAGTAGGTAGAGTCAGTCCCATTTAAGCTAAAAGTATGTGGCAAATTTTTCCCTATTTAGCTACTTTATGCAGAAGTTAAAAAAAAAAAGCGTAAGTCATCTTATGTAGAAAGGTCTTCAGATTCTTCAGGTAATGCCTATATTATCATTTTGATAACTACCTATTTTTT